TGTAACGGAGTAAAGGGTGTAACGGGTGTAATGGGGTAACGAGGGGTAACGGGGTGTAACAGGGTAACGGGGTGTAACGGAGTAAAGGGTGTAACGGGTATAATGGGGTAACGAGGGGTAACGGGGTATAACAGGGGTAACGGGGTGTAACAGGGTAACGGGGGGTAACAGGGGAACGGGGTGTAACAGGGTAACGGGGGGTAACAGGGGAACGGGGTGTAACGGGGGTCACAGGGTGTAACAGAGTAAAGGGGGTAACGGGTGTAACGGGGTAACGCCGGGTAACGGGGTGTAACGGGGGTAACAGGGTGTAACAGAGTAAAGGGTGTAACGGGTGTAACGGGGTAACGAGGGGTAACGGGGTGTAACAGGAGGTAATGGGTGTAATGGGGTAACGAAGGGTAAGGGGGTAACAGGGTGTAACGGGTGTAGTGGGTGTAACGGGTTCACAGGGGGTAACAGGGGTAACAGGGTGTAACAGGTGTAATGGGGTAATGAGAGGTAAGGGGGTAACAGGATGTAATGGGGTAACGAGGGGTAATGGGGTGTAACGGAGTAAAGGGTGTAACGGGTATAATGGGGTAACGAGGGGTAACGGGGTATAACAGGGGTAACGGGGTGTAATGGGTGTTAAAGGGTGTAACGGGTGTAACGGGGTAACGAGGGGTAACGGGGTGTAACAGGAGGTAATGGGTGTAATGGGGTAACGAAGGGTAAGGGGGTAACAGGGTGTAACGGGTGTAGTGGGTGTAACGGGTTCACAGGGGGTAACAGGGGTAACAGGGTGTAACAGGTGTAATGGGGTAATGAGAGGTAAGGGGGTAACAGGATGTAATGGGGTAACGAGGGGTAATGGGGTGTAACGGAGTAAAGGGTGTAATGGGTGTAACGGGTGTAACGAGTGTAACAGCAGGTTATGGGTGTGATGGGTGTAACGGGGTAACGAGGGGTAATGGGTGTAACAGGGTAATGAGTGTAAAGGGTGTAACAGGGTAACGAGCTAATAGAAAGCAATGGTGTAATGGGAGTAATGGGGTAAAAGGTGTAACCAGGTGCAAGGGATGTAACGGTGTAACAAGGTATGGGGTAACGGGGTGTAATGTGGGATAAGAGGGCGTAATGGGGCAAAGGGTGTAAGGGGGGTAAGGGGTGTAATGGTGTAAGGGTGTGTAATGGTGTAAAGGGGGTAAGGGGTGTAAGTGGGTGTAATGATGTAGAGGTGTAAGGGGACAAAGGGTGTAAACGGGTGTAATGGCGTAAGGGGATAAGGGTTGTAAGGGGGTGTAATGATGTAGGGCGTAAGGGCACAAAGGGTGTAAGGAGACAAAGGGTGTAAGGGTGTAAGGGAGTGTAATGATGTAGGGGGAATAAGGGGTGTAATGGTGTAAGGGCATAAGGGGGGTAAGGGGGGGTAAAGGGGGTAACGGTGTAGGGGTGTAAGGGGTGTAAGGGGGTCACTGCGGATCCCTACCGGCGAGGAAGGC